TCGGTCAATGTGTGATTCTTCCTTTCTGCAATCCCATTAGATTGCGGAGAATACGGAACCGTAGTTTTAGCAATGATTCTATGTTTCTTGAAGTATGCTTCCGACTCCTTATATCGGTACTCTCCTTCTGTCGCTCCTGAGTCTTTTCACCTGAAGTCCAAGCTGCTTCTCCACACGAGTCTGAAATTTGATAAACTTGTTGAAGGCTTCATCTTTAGATTTTTAGCAGGTAGACGTGATAGAAGTGAGAATGATCATCAATGAAGGTGATGAAGTACTTCATGCCGCCTCGAGTGACGAAACTCTTGAAATCATAAGTATCTGAGTGAATTAGATCCAATAGGTTGGTGCTCCTTGTGACACTTGGAAAGGGCTTCCTTGTCAACTTTACTTGCGTGCAGACTTCACACTTCTCATGTTTGTTACCCTCACATTTTGTAAGTAATCCTAACTTCTCCATGCTAGTCAGTTTTTTTATAATTTACATGTCCTAGCCTATTATGTCATAATACAGAGGAGTAAGCAGAAGATGATACTTCATTTACAACTGAGTTGTGTACAATAGTACTGATCTTATACATATCATCAGTATGATATGCATTGTCAAAATATGTTTTTTAAAGAATAATACAACCTTTTCTCCTTAGAAATCCAGCCTCATGCCTGCATCACACAGCAGGCTTCCAGAAATTAAGTTTTTGGCAATTGAGGGAATATATTTTATATCTTTCAATGTGAGAGTATTTCCTGAAGAGAGAGTTAGCACCACTTTCCTAGATTCAAGAACAGGAAACACCGAACGATCAGCCATTGATATGTTCTCTTTGGCAATAACATAAGAAGAAAATAAATCTCTGTTGGAGCAGACATGACAGGTAGCACCTATATCTAAACACTAACCAGAGATGTTGCTAGGAGTTGTCACTTGGAAGAGTATAGACACACAATTATAAACTTGATTGGCATTGTGTTTTGTTCCCTTCTTTGGTGCTTTGCAGTCCTTGGCAAAATGCTCTTACTTCCCACAGTTAAAGCATTTACCACTTTTCTTGAAATCTTTTTTCTGAACATTCAGGTTCTTCGGATTTTGATTCTTCTTTTTGTTAAAAAAAAAATTTCCCTTGAAAGAAGAATTGGTACCCTTCTCAGAGTTAGCAGTCACTATGTTAGCAGACGTCTTCTGCTTAGTAAGGAGCTCATCCTTTGTGCGAGTCTAAATCTCGTCCTCGATCCGAACGAACCTCTTCAAATCAGATAGAGTCATCTGTCTTTTTCTTCTATGAATGTCTATGGAGAATGACATCAAAGATGGAGGAAGCTTGTTGACAATTACATCAGAAATAAAGGTTTGACAAAGATTGATCTTTTCATCCTTCAGCTTCATAACAAGCTTTTCAAGCTCTTTGACTTAAGGCAAAACCTTAGTGTCATCTTCGAATTTAAAGTCCAGAAACTTGTCAACGATGTAAGACTTGGAAATCTTCTCCTCGTCCTTGTATTAGTCCTCCAGAGCATTCCAGATTTCCTTTGCTGAGGGTTTGTTGGTGTAAGCATCTACGAAATCCAGCCTCATGCCTGCATCACACAGCAGGCTTCCAGAAATTAAGTTTTTGGCAATTGAGGGAATATATTTTATATCTTTCAATGTGAGAGTATTTCCTGAAGAGAGAGTTAGCACCACTTTCCTAGATTCAAGAACAGGAAACACCGAACGATCAGCCATTGATATGTTCTCTTTGGCAATAACATAAGAAGAAAATAAATCTCTGTTGGAGCAGACATGACAGGTAGCACCTATATCTAAACACTAACCAGAGATGTTGCTAGGAGTTGTCACTTGGAAGAGTATAGACACACAATTATAAACTTGATTGGCATTGTGTTTTGTTCCCTTCTTTGGTGCTTTGCAGTCCTTGGCAAAATGCTCTTACTTCCCACAGTTAAAGCATTTACCACTTTTCTTGAAATCTTTTTTCTGAACATTCAGGTTCTTCGGATTTTGATTCTTCTTTTTGTTAAAAAAAAAATTTCCCTTGAAAGAAGAATTGGTACCCTTCTCAGAGTTAGCAGTCACTATGTTAGCAGACGTCTTCTGCTTAGTAAGGAGCTCATCCTTTGTGCGAGTCTAAATCTCGTCCTCGATCCGAACGAACCTCTTCAAATCAGATAGAGTCATCTGTCTTTTTCTTCTATGAATGTCTATGGAGAATGACATCAAAGATGGAGGAAGCTTGTTGACAATTACATCAGAAATAAAGGTTTGACAAAGATTGATCTTTTCATCCTTCAGCTTCATAACAAGCTTTTCAAGCTCTTTGACTTAAGGCAAAACCTTAGTGTCATCTTCGAATTTAAAGTCCAGAAACTTGTCAACGATGTAAGACTTGGAAATCTTCTCCTCGTCCTTGTATTAGTCCTCCAGAGCATTCCAGATTTCCTTTGCTGAGGGTTTGTTGGTGTAAGCATCTACCAGATGATCGGCCAGGCAGTTAAGGAGATAACTCCTACAGAAATGATCATCTTTAGCCCAAGAGACTTCAGACCCAGAATATGCTTCAAAATCAGGTTTCTCCTCAGAAACCACATTGTAGATTTTCATGAGTTGCATCCCAAAGGTTACTTTCCGACGCCATGTGTTAAAGTTGGATCCGTTAAAATTCTCTAACTTGAGACAGTCCACTCCAAGAGTCCTCGCGGGATCCATAATAGATCAGAAATATTACTTTAAGATTATTGGAGATTGTGGTTAAATATGTAATAAAACAATAAAAGTTAATGTGCTGTAATTTTAAACTTTTTCAAGTTAACTGTTGTGCGTTTGTGAAACGTTGTGCTTAAAACAATATTTGGCCTACTCCGGTGCAAGGATCCCAAGGCCAAACTGTTTTTAGGAACAGCAGTACAGTACTCTGGTGTGTACCAACCCAATATTATCAAGATCTCCTTGATCTATAAGATCTTTCGATCAAGACAAAGATCTCATCGATCTCAGAACCTTTCGGTTTTAGGGTAAGTTCCTTCAGGCATAGTTTCTGCAGCAGCAGCACAACAATAACAACAACGTCAAGATCTCTTCAATCCGACATTCGTTTTTCCAGTTCCCACCAAGAGTTGTCCAAGGGGCGCTATTTATAGGCCTCTAAGACCAGCTCAAGAGTCATCCTCAATTAATATGACCGTTACAAATCATAATGACAATTATGATTATAACAATAATCCATTAAATTGATGTAAATACTGCCGTAACTGCTGCATGCATTAACTTCTGAATACGAGGTAATCAATAGATGTGTATCTACGAAACGCGAGGGTCTCTCAGCAAATCAGACGAACATCGTCTGTAGGACGAACCTCGTCGAATGGGCGAACCTCGTCGAACGAGCGAACCTCGTCAAATAGGCGAACCTCATCGAACGAGAGAAGCGAACCTCGTCAAACATGCGAACCTCGTCGAACAAGCGAACCTCATCGAACGAGCGAACCTCGTCAAACAGGAGAACCTCGTCAAACAGGCGAACCTCGTCGAACGAGCGAATCTCGTCAAACAGAGGAGCATCGTCTGATCTCAATAACGCTAGGGTCATACCCTCGTACGAATGCGTAGCTCGTTCGCATGCTGCGAAGCCGACTGCGAGGCAACCTTCGTGGCAGCCTAGCAGCGATGCCTCCGTGCGAAGTGCAAAGTGCGCCTAACAAAGCGCCTCAGTCCGATTAGCCCCGATCCCGGCCCATTGGCCCACGGCTCATGGCCCACGACCCACGACCCACTAGAACTTATGACAGATTAATTAAAATAAAATACTTCTCGACTTGCCGTTGACAAGTCTCGAACAGAGAACCTTTTGAAACACCAAAACTTTAACTTTGATGTATCTCTGTTTGTGACTTTTCTGTCCTTCTAAATATAAAGATAGATTATCATCATTTGAAAGGGCTCGAGCCTCGCGAGATTATTCAAATAAGTAGTTGGTAAGAGCTATATAGCGATTGCCAGGAAGGCGAACTCTTTTTTTTCTTCTTTATTATTATTTTTTTTTTCAAGGCACATACATTCAAATCTGCAAACTATGTGATGAATACAGTAAAAGATAATTGGCGGTACATCATTGTATCATATGGGTTAGTCATTTATATTATCCATAAATTTATTAATTGCATCACTGGTGCATCACATGATATCAAATACACTGCACAGTGTTAGTATGTTGCATATAGATCTTTGTTTTTCTTATGACTATTGAACGTGTACAGTTTATAATACTCAAAAATGTAATAGAAAGATGTATCTCTGTTCAGAGATCAGTGTGTCTGAGTCCTCCCAGATACCACCTTGAAGACAGGGTTGTTATACAGAACCATATTTGATTATCAATTAATATATAAACCATCTTTAAAAGGGCTTTTTGGCGCAATCAGCTAATTTGACCCATTTTCCAGTCAATCTTTTCCTAAAATCCAGAAAAACACCCTTGAAAAACTTATTAAAAACACTTAATCCATGGACATTGGTGGTTTGGATACTCATATATATGATATATCTTCGAGGTGAGTTTTGTAAGGATATTTTTTTGAGTTTTATGTGAGGATGTTTTTGGCATTTTAGAGAAAATTTAACTCGGAAGTGGGTCCAGATGGTTGATTGCATCACAAAGCCCCTTTAAAGACGGTTTATTTATCCCAAAAAAAAAGATGGTTTACGTATTAATCGATAATAAAAAATAATTTATGTATAATGATCCTATTTTAAAGGAGATTTCTGGAAAAAATAATTATATAAATTAAAAACAATAAGTGACTAACCTCCTACAAAATTATTACCAATAACAAATTTATCTATATACATATAGCTGAACACACAAAAGAAGAGTCATGCGTGTACATGTATATAGAACGCATACAGAATTATCTAACTCTACGAGAATTTTGGACCCACCCCTAATTAATTTCCCTCTCCCACAATCCTCAAGTCTCCCTTCATCTCTTCATATAAGAGCCCAGAAACAGGGCCAAAGGGAGACAACCACCATTACCCCAGAAACCAGAGCTTAGAAAAGTTCCAGTCAAAACCAGCATGGATCACCCTGTAAGGCATCAACTCCATCAAAACAAACCCAATTCTTTACTCAAATTCAGCACGCAGTAGTTTCATCCTACACCGGGCGTATATCGACGATGTTCAGTGGCTTTGCCAGGTCTCTGTATGGTTCAGGGAGGAGGAGGAAGGTTCTAGAAGACGATGGAGGGAGAGATGCAGCTGATAATTTATTGAAGGAGGCCAAGAAGAAGGAGATGATATTGAAGAGTTCAGGATTTGTTAGAGGAGAAGAGTGTAATGTGTTTGTGTCAGTTTATTCACAGAGAGGTGAGAAGGGTGTGAATCAAGATTGCTCTATTGTGTGGCAGGTCAGTACTAGCTAGTTTCATTTTCCTTTTGTTTGTTTTAATAGAATTTATATATTGTCAAATATAATTCAGGGCTACAGTGAGTTTCAGAATTTCGTCTTGAGTATCACATAGATGATGGTAATAATCAGATGGGGATATGGGTCTGTTGAATGCCAGTGAATATTCTGAATTATTGTTAGCTTATTATGTATAGAATGAAGAGAGAGATTCCAGCCTTTTGAGAAAGTGGGTTTACTTTGGTTTGGCCTATTTCATCTGTAGATGGTTGATTTTCTCACATCTTTGGGTATAATAGAGATTTTTTTGAGTTGGGAGTTAAAATTTGGATGGTGTTAGATTTCGTATAGAATGAAGAGAAATATAGGTTTTGTTTTTGTTTGCTAGAATTTCATCAAAAATATTTTATTTATTTATTTTTATTAGAAGATGGGTTTTGTTTACATTTAGGATGTTTCATTTATAAATGGGTGATCTCCACATCTTTATGCAAGTAACAGAGATTTTTGTAATTCCTGCTATAAATGCAGTCAATTTTGACTTCCATTGCTGATTTCCACCTCAAAATTTGCCAAAGTATTAATCAAAAGTCGGTACAAATCTATTAGTATTGATAATAAGTATTAGGTTGAGACCTAAAATGATGATCGATGCATAAACAACTTTCCTTGGTCTAAATTAGTGTCCTTATCACGCTACTACTCTGGGAATTTCATATACCATCTGTTGTTTGAGCAATCAGCCTAGTTGTCGGAGAAATTTATGAACTAGAGGTAAAAAGATGCAGAATATATATACATAAAAAATATTGGGAGAAGGGGGAAGTATACTAGGATTCAGGCTTAAAGGGCTAAGAATATCTCCACCTCTGAGTTCACGTACCATCTTTAAATTTGATTTGAGATTTTGTTTAGTTCTTCTTGCTCCATTTGAATTTTTAGCTTGAATTTTATTATTAGGAATTTGGATGCCAAGAAGACATGATCTTTTGTGGAATATTTGATGGGCATGGCCCATGGGGTCACTACGTCGCTAAAATGGTCAGGGAGTCTCTTCCTTCATCCATACTATGCAACTGGCAAGAAGCCATTGCTCGGACTTCAACAGACGGTAAAAACGCATCCCATTTTGATACCTGGAAACAATCGTACATTAGATCTTGTGCTTCAGTAGACGCAGAACTTGAGCACCATCGAAAATTTGATTCGTTCAACAGTGGCACCACTGCGCTCACACTCGTCAAACAGGTAACTTCCTTGTACTCTTGTTTCTTGATTACTTGAAGAGATTTAGCCTTCATGGGTAATTTAACTGTTTGTCTCAATGGAATTCTCACGACTTTGTCAGACTTATTCAACAAAATTGATTGATTGATACGAGTTGATTTTCTGTTACGATAGATCGACGAAACAATAGCTAGTCCAATAGCTGAGTTGATTTTCTGTTACGATAGATCGACGAAACAATAGCTAGTCCAATAGCTGCTTCCGCGGCTGCAATGACTATAATAAAGATTGAGAAAATGTCTCCTTTTAATTGACGACTATCAAATATATCAGAAAACATTACGAGATTAATATTAACCGAATTTAGTATAAGTCCCAAAAAGTCTCTTGCGATGTCTTTGTTTGTTTTGAGCAAAGATGCATTAGCGAAAGAGTCCGGAATTTATTGTCACGTCAGCAAAATCCCTTGTCAGAATCCTATCTTCTTGGAGGATTTTGAGGAGAAGGTGGAAATTGTGCCACATTGAACTTTCCATTGAACCAAAGAATTTCAGCAAAAAAAAGAAAAAAAGAAAAAAGCAAAAAAAAGTTTTTAATTTTAGACGAAATTGAGATTGCCCAAGCTTAATTACCCCCGATCCAAACAGCCTCTATAGCTATAGCTACGGCATCCTTGACCCGGTTTCATGAGAGATGAGTTTATTTATCACCTTTTTTTTAAAAGTTGATAGAGAATCTATAAAGACTGAATGGAAAGCTAGAGTTAGCTAACCCTCAAAAGTCGGCATTTTTTTATTATTATTTAAAACTATGGCAGATAGAAAGAGACCAGATAACTTATTTTATCAAGCACAATCAACTGCCTTGATGGTTTATAATGCATTAGTTATACTGTTTCCTTAATCTAATTAGTATTGCAGGTATTGACTTTCTTTTCCTCAACATCTTGATGTATATTTGTGGATGGCATTCAGACATCTGTGTTCTGTGACAAAGCTGGAGACTGACATGTTTTGCATTAATAAGATATATCTTATGGTCTAAGCCTGTGGAATTCACATAGATGACCATATCAAAAAAAATTATTAAACAATATTTCTTATGGGCTAAGCCTGTGGATTTGATCAATCCTCTATTCTCCAAACCAGCATATAAACTCACGTATAGAAGTTGCACGTAATGCAGCAGTGGCGGAGCTAGAAACTTTTTTTTTCCCCTTTCTTGTTGAGGTTTTTGTTTGCGTGTGGGTGCATGAACATAAATTCGCTATGATATATTTAATAATAAAATCAACTTCGAACCAAATCTGTATGCTTTTTCATTCAAAGATATATCATAAAATATAAATGAAAAAAGTCATACAAGCATATAAAACAATATTGTCGCGCGCCTATGCGGAAGCCTTGCACGAATTCACAACGAACCTGTGATCACGAGTAGAAGAAAGCCAAACTCTTGCACAAATCCAACCAATAACGCCAAATCAATCCAAACACAGAGATATACGTGGTTCGGCAATTTGCCTACGTCCACGGGGAGAGGATGGGGAGATTTTACTAATTCAAGGAGAGTACAAAGGGTTACAATCACACAAGAACTCTCAAACTAACTCTCAACCAAAGATCTCACCTTGCCCACAATATCTCCCTCTCACAATGCTCAAAAGATTCCTTAATCTCTGATATCAAACCCTCTCAAATCGTTTCCCTATTTATACCAAAACAAAACCCCAATTAGACTGCAAATAGGAAACCTGCGTATGCAAAAAACCCGTCGTAAGTCGACTTAACAGAGCTCACAAGTCGACTTGACAGAGAGAAAATCAACAACTGGAGAACACTTCATAAGTCGACTTAACAGTCTGTTAAGTCGACTTGCCATAAGTCGACTTAACAGTCATGCTAAGTCGACTTGACAGAGGCTAAAATCACAATTCGGCTGCAGATCGTAAGTCGACTCGTGCACAGTGCATGAGTCGACTTATGCCAGTTTTTCTGGTTTTTCTGATTTCTCCACAATTCTCCACCTCGGTCAATTTTGCCAAAAATGAGCCGACACCAAACCAAGAGCATCAATGTGTCGTCTCTCCAAATACGGCTGCACCCTTGTGCATGAGTCGACTTATGCCAGTTTTTCTGGTTTTTCTGATTCTTTTCCTGATTTCTCCACATGTATGCGTGTAATACCAATACCATTGCTTTCTTTATAGTCAGGATATTAAGCTTAGAGCATTTTCCCCCTGCATAATGTATTGCATGTGATAGCTCTAAATAATAAAGCTTTAATGATATTAGTCAATCAGGGGTTTATTAGCTGATATTTGTAGATAAACTACTATATTTTTATATTACAGAGGATCTCCCTGCAATTAACTCTTACTGCTAATGATATTCTCACATGTTTGTTTTTAAGCAGCAACTAGCTGACAGGTAACTGGTAATTAGCAAAAAATTAGTTGACTATTTGGTAGTTAAAAAGATAATTTTCACGTGATTACGAACATGTTAGGGGCTGTTTGGTTCGTTTTTTAACTCGGTGGAAAAGTTTTACACCGTCTTCACATCAGATTTTTCGTGGCCACGTAGGATGTAAGTTTTCCGTCAGTATTTTTTCCATCTTTGGTTCGCTAGGATTGAAGAAGGGAAACTCGATGAAAATCGCCGCCACATCAGATTTTTTTCTCTCCCCCAATTCCTTCCTCAACCTCGTGAAATCGACAAAACTGTAGCCACGTCGGCTTTTTACCATATAAATAAAAGTTTTTTATTTTTTTCCATGCAAACTAAATACAAGAAAAATAAACTTTTTACCATATAAATAAATTTTTTTTATTTTTTTCCATGCAAACTAAATACAAGAAAAATAAATACAGTTATTAACTTAAGCCCTTGAATTGTTATTTCAATATATACTAAGTTACGTATGCAGATTTGACACTGACGCGTGCGTGTGTACATATAGTTGACTGGTCTCTGTAATTTTAAAAAAGTCACACGTATTATTTGTCCTTCACTTCTCCCACGTCTACTCCTCCACACAAACGAGAGAACTTAATATCCACTGTTCATAGCACAGTAAGTATTGATGTAGTATTATCACTGTAGCAAACAGGAAGTAGGATAACGTAACATTTTATAAAAATGTTACTGTAGCACAGGGATACTGTAACATTTTTTTTAAAAACTGTCGCAGAGTTGGAAACGGTAGCAGCTCAAAAAAATACAGTAACATTTTAAAAATCGGGATTACTGTAGCAAGAAAAAAAAATGATATGTCGTGCTTCGCACGGTGTTCACGATTAGTTAGA